AAAAAAAAACCCAAACCTACTTTTATGGTCCAGTCTGTTACATTGTGACCAAACAGAAAATGCTCTACACGGTCTTCTTTGCGCCTATAGTGGATGACAGCGCCTCGTGGTCTACCAAAAACATCCCTTGCAGATATGATCTGAGAAAAATTTTGAATGAAGTATTCTTTGTGCCATACTCAACACTTACAGTAGAGGAAGGTGGAGATTCTTCAAAGAGAGTCCATTCTCTAGAGCTAATGTCACTTCTCTCGGCTCCAATTTTCGCTATCCTATGGACGCTGGATTCAACCACTTTCAAGGATGTAACCTCTTGGTTTTGCCAAAAATGGAGCTTTGACCCCTCAATTCGCCTTCGAAAGGTGGTGTTTGAGAAAGTGACAAGGAAGGATATCAAAGGCACATCGTAATCGGCGCAGTATTTGTCCAGTAATTGTCGATTCCAACTAGCCATGCTGAGGTATTTGTAATAATTTTCAATGATGATGACTGCGTAGCGACCCTTAGTTGCAGTTGTGAGGAGAGGCAGGTTCTTCGAGAGAGTTTCCGCTTTGAAAGGATATTTCAGAGCGCCGAGAATCTGCTGAAGAAGGCGACCATGACGCGAATAGGCACTCTCTAGGAGAACAAGAGCACGATGTTCAGTCAGATTTCGGTTGATGTGTTGTGGTTTTTGGGATCTTGATGGGAGAGTGCATGGGCATTGGTAAGGGGGAAGATTTTGAGGAGGATATCGTTTGAGTGCAGAGTCCTGTCGAAGTGAAACATTGTAGAGAAATAGTACAGAGGCTACGATGATCAACGATAGCAGAAGCTTGAGAGATTTCAGCAGCCGCCGAGTAGAATACGGCAACATGACAGGATCGACTATTTCTCAAGGCACGTGCCATATTACATATCAAAAAACTGAAAAAAATCAAACATCGACAGTGGTAAGAGTACTCTCAAATGGGAAAGAGCGTCTCACGTAGAAACGATACGGTTGCGGAATGGGTTGATAGAGCAGAGAATCAAGGTGTAAGTGAGTTAAACCTAACTTAATTTTCTTACATAAAACTATATGGATTATGCAACGACAAAAAATTCACAAGAGTTTTTAGAATATCAGCGGCTTTTACCAAGCACTCTTTTGTATTCATCTCAAGAACTTCCGGGCTTAACGAACCCACTTGAAGCTCAAAGAAACATTTGTGTTCATATGGAGGAGCCAGCCGGCACAAACCATTATTCGTCGGGCTCGGACAATTTAACCGGAATAATCGTGTCTTTTAAATAAGGAACAAATGTGGAATACAAATACACAAATGCAAACAGTTCACTATGGAATAGACTGAAGACGTTTTAGGAAGAATAGATTTATCTAATGGATTTCCTAAGATATTTATTACCGCTCAAAATACTTCCCCAGATCTTCCCACATTGACAGAGATGTTAGGAAAGATTCTATTTTAGCTACTCATAGCTCTCTGTTATTCACAAACTGCGACTTAGAATTTCCTTGACTGCAATGCCATTGTAAGACTCTTGCTTCTGGAAATCGTTAAATTCATACTTCAGTGCTCTTTTCATTTTCAATTGGTTCCAATAAATAACGACCACACTTCAAAAAATGTCTATAAATTACTGCCAATCTTCCTAAATCTTCCTGTAACAACACCGTAGAAACAAAAACAAATTAGCTAACAAATAATAAAAGCCAAGGAGTTGACACACATTTCCATCGACCATCAACGTGCATGTGCGCGAAAGGACGTATTCGATATACACAACATTTCGATATGGACCACGCTCTGCGGCCGCGCTCGCAGG